CGTGCAACTCTGGAGTGATTGAGACCCTGGGAAAAAAACTGTTTGTAACAGGTGGCGATGGGCATCGCGCTGAGGAAAGGGGGTCCATTTTGCCAACAAAACTGGGAGTGGATTTTACATAGTTTTGGCTTTTTTAGTTACTGGTTTTAAGCGTTGCAAGTTGGAAGTGCAGTGGATCTGCGCAGAGACCAGCAAAGATGCATGGGTTATTTCGAGAAGCCTGCGAAACTCGTCTTCTGTAGCACTTTTAAAAAAATATTACAGGAACAGGTAAATACGGAACTGGAAGAGTTTAAAACGGAGCTAGAGGAATTCGTAGAGGAACTCAGTGAGGAACAGAAGAAATTGAACAACCAGATGGCTTCTCTGAAGACGGTACTTTACGCGAAGTTCGGTGGATGCATCAATCTGGAAACTGACACGGATAGTTAACTAGTCTCTGCTCCGGTGTCCCAGTGCGTTGTTCTCAATTTTAAAAAAATTTCTGTAAAATAGTCGAAGATTAAAGGTAGCTGCTGTTTTTGCAAAGAACTGAATTTTCGATGATAAGTCGAGTAGATTTTTTCTCTTTGTCATAGCCGAGGCGACATAGGGGCCCTGTCGTGGGTTATGACACCATTTGAGCCGTCATCTTCTCGTAAGAATGATCGATTGTATATTGCGTATTACTGGCAGATCAAGAGATATGCAAGATTCTAGCGCGCGAACAAATGGGATGGATTTTTCTGGAGCAAACCACATTATTAGATTCGCATCACATATACAGTGTTATGGAGGATACTGCATGCGTGGTTTTCTGATCCTTGATGGATATCAGTGATTTCTGAAGTACAAGGAGGTTCGGGAAGTTCATGGTCTGAAGTATATTAGTGGTTTCTCGGTAGCATACAGTTTGCTAGTTTACAGTGTGCCTTTGCGCTTCTTTTGGCGCTTCCTGTCGGAGTTTTGAGATTATCTGGCTTGTTGTTGCTTTTAGAGCGAATCTTATTTCTCTAGACCGTCGAAAAATTCCTCTTTTGTCAGAGTTTTTGTTCTGACAAGTTCGAAGAAGGTGTGGCCAGTTCTTTCGCAGGGCACACCGACAGGTTGGAGACAAAGGGGAGTGCTCAGGGCATGAACGGGCATGGATGTGCATGTGGACACTGTGTGATGGAGATGTAGTGGTACGCAGGTGCAGAGAGGTTGTGTTTTTGGATTTTGCTGTGTTCAGTATCTCCCGAATATATCGTTTTTCTAATACACTCTCATGCTTTCCGTAATGTGTACTGTACGTGTAGCTCAGAACGGAGTGGGTTCATTGCATACTTGTTTCCTTCCCTTCCCCTCGGCTTCTTCGTCGCTCACGGATGATAGTTCAGAGCCTTTCAATACACACATCTCGTGGAAGTGGTGTAAGAGTGTAGCAGAATGATTTTATCAGCTCTGGATTCGTCACTTATCCAAAATTGTGTGCTTCCAGTTAGTTGCTTAAGGCCAGGGAGGGCTTAGGAGCGTGCTGTTGCATAGCAACTGAGGTATCGCCGCTGCGTCTCTGGTAGACAATGGCATGCGTGAAATGTGTCGGCTTTTATGGAGGAATATCATGAATGCGACAGAATGGGGGCATAGGCGTGCCGGATTGAATGCCACAGCTTGCCCATCGCTCTGGAGAATTAAAAAAAATAGGTGGTTTTTTTTTTGGGCAGGATTTTTGCCATCCGTGCAGCACAGCTTCCTTTCGGTGGCCAGCCGTGGCACTGAAATGGCTTTTAACGACTGGCAGCTTTTACAGTTACCGTAGGGCAACAGTGGGCTTTTGATTCGTCGCGTTCTGTTGTTCGTACCGGCCCCGCTAATTTCAGATGGGGCTGCAACAAACCGCCGCCTCCTTCTCGATTCTTTATGTATTGCTCCGTTATTCGAAGGCTGCCAGAGCTGTTTCGAGCTAACTGGGATTCAGCCTCCCACTGAATTCACCCTGACCCGTCCCAGTGATGTGGTAGATCGTGTGCTTCACTGCACATTCCCAGCCGATAGTCAGCTGATTTGTGATGATCCTGTGTGAGATGGGCGGCTTTGTTTCTGTTACCGCCTCTCCCCGTTGTGCAGCAATTCCCCCTTTCCGCGAAAACACTCCTTCCCCTTAATTTTTGTGGTAGGCATCGAACAGAGTTGCAATTGTGCCTCCGTTGGGCATTCTGCCTCAGGACGCCTTCTCCCTGTGCACTGTCTCTTAAAGTTTGCTGCTGCTGTTGCTGCTACATCATTGGTTCCTCACTGATTTTCTGTTGTTCTTGTTTACAAGTGTTAGTTTGATGCGAATCAAGCATAGTCCATTTGCGTGTGTTGCTCCTTGAAATGACGCCGTTTGCTGTCCGATGCTTGTTATCCATGAAGAAGCTTGCTGACTACTGTTTTTATGTCATCCAGGATACGCTTACCGTGCTTTTTGTCCGTAATTACATTACTTTTGAAGTGTATCGAAATGTCCTCTTTAGTTTTCATATGCCCTATCAACCTCTTCTTTCGTTCTGTACGCCTGTTGACTAATAATTTGTAGTTATTAATTACTAGACTACGACATTATCTCCAGCTTAACTTTAAGGAATCAACTGAAGGGGACCCTTTCCCTGTGCATCTTGGGCTATGAGCAACGGGCTTCTCATTAAATAGATACCAGAGTGTAATTTATATGGGTTTCTTCTTTAAAATTGATTGTGCGGGAATTTGCGATTTCTGTTCAAAGTGCAAATACATGTTGTCGAATTAGCAGCAGTTCGCCAGTTGCGTCGTTCTCGAACTATGCAGCTGGTAACTTTTTCAGCTGCTTTAGCCAGCAGTGTACTGCCTGATGGTCAGCCTCCCAGTCATCTCGACGTCCGTCTGGTCTCATGTAAAGATTATCAGCTCAACGTTTCAGCAGAAGCACTTTGCAGAGTTTTAACCGTTTCTTGGTGGTTTTGGTGCGTACTGAATGTACCGAATGACTACCACCTTGCCCCTAATTCTTTGACGTGCTGAGTAGGTCCAAGGCTTTTGGTCAGGAACTGATTGATTATCATTGCTTCGGCTTGGCTACGTTGTAAATCTTTGATTAGTTTAGTACAACTTGTGCGTGTTCTAGTTGGTCCAGATCAGTGGCTGTTAGAAGCTGCAAGGCGTAATTTTGTGATTCGAGACTTGCAGTGTTGGTAAACTGAGGGAGGACTGCTAAGTGACGATTGAAGCTGAGAACGGCT